GACATCCAAATCGTGATCCAAATGGTCGGCTAATGTCTTGTCTTTCAATTGAGATTCACTCAAACCATGGAATCTATTCTCTGTGTTAACTCTATTGCATCTCTTCACACGTGTGTCACCACAACTGGTCTCTCTCTTCACCAACTGGTCACACGTGGCCATACGTGAAGTGTGTTCACTAAATGTAGTGCACATCAGATCCATGTTTGGTAAGTATTGTCTAACGTTTAACGTTAATATTATTCAATAAACTTGTCGTTAATAATATATCGTTAAGACTTTTAAATTTGAAACAACGGTTCGCTTGCAATACAACAGTGTATTCAATATTCAACATACGGTATGATTACTGACATCTATTGTATCTATCATTCAATATACCGTACTTTCAATTGTTTCACAACTTATAGTATTTGCAAAATCAAATCTTTTACCGGTAATAATTAACAAAATAATAAAGTAATCATTTGTTTTATTTAAATGGCTAACTATTATAAGATTTTATATAACATATTCTGTCATGAAATCATTTAATCTTAAATAGTTTTTAACTTAATTGAAAAAATTAATGAAAAAGTTAGACATTTTTTAAAATAAAATTTATTAAATGATTGAAATTCAATGCAAAATAAAAGAATTAATTGATGTCTTAAACAATGCTTATTCTGAATCAGAATTGTCTTCTTTCTTCTTCTTCTTCTTTTTCTTCTTCTTCTCGGATACCTTTTGGACGTCTTCTTCTTCTTCGCCTTCTTCTTCAATGGCTTCAGTTTTGCCTTTAGTTCCGTTCGGCGAAGAGATGGTAGGGTTGGCATCGGTTTCATTTGCATGTGAAGTGTCGTGATATTTGAGGTACCAGTCTTTGGGTGTTTTATCGTTAGGTTTTCCTTTATCTGTTAGTAATCCGTCTTTCATTAACTTCTTCTTCAGAGTTGCCTTAAATATAAGCAAAACACAGTCAATACAATTGGACTTATGTTATAAACTTGGTTAAATATGCAACCGTTGGTCCCAATCCCCACTTTCGTGGATATGTATCCCTTTCCATAAGAACTCTCTTGATTTTAGCGACCACTCCGTGATCACTGCTCGCGATCGTCGATGTGGTCATCAACGC